ATATTATTTGCATTGTGCGTTGGGACAGGATAGATTAGTTTTTAGGCCAAGTGAGGCCATTGCATTTTATATGTATTTCAGCAGGTCGTAGTAGGACTTTTTCTGCAGAGATCATGCCGAATTGTTTATTTATTATTATTTTTTTTTGGTACCGTCGACCGGTATCTTTTTGGATCGTTACACAAGCTAAATGAAGCTCGTAATTATCGTTTTTTGCATTAAAAGATGTCAAAATCAAAGTGCCCCCATACTATAAGGGCCCAAACTAAATGAAGCTCGTAATTGTCTTTTCTCGTATTAAAAGGGTTCGAAATCAAAGTGTGCCATACTATAAGGGCCCAAGCTGAATGAAGCTTGTAATTGTCATTTTCCGTATTAAAATGGGTCAAAATCAAAGTGGCCCGTACTATAAGAGACCGAGCTGAATGAAACTTGTAATTGTCATCTCACGTATTAAAAGGGGTCGAAATCAAAGTGCCACGTATTAAAAGGGTCCAAGCTAAGTAATTATGTTTCTCGTACTAAAAGGGATAGGTGGGGCAAAGCCCGATAACTCGCCTCCTTCCCTCATTAAATGGACAAGAGGCCGACTACTCCTCTTTCCCCCTTTCAAGGGAAGAGGGGACAACTATACCCAATCCCTCGTTAAAGGGACAAGGGGACTCTACTTCCTCGACATAAAAAGGGTGAGATAATTAAAAGCTTCTTCCCTTGCTATAGGGACAATAACAGTTACTTTCTTATTAAAAGGTTCAGGTTATAAAGCTCGGAGAAACTACACCCTTTACCAACGGGTCGAGACAACCGAGCCGAATGAAAAGCTCTCAAAAAATGAACAGTTTCAAGCCCAATAGAAATTCGGGAAGGTGCTCAAATAATCCGTCACTTGTTGCAACTTGATAGACTTTTCTACCTCTCAACTTTATTACACAAAGCAATCAATCGCTCCATATATAGGTCTTTGTACTTATTATTGAAAAGTTGATTTAATTCCTTTTGTATTATTGGTAGCACTCTGACCCTTATGACTTCCTTAGTACTTTTTGGATTCCCATTACCTCTAAGACCAACACCAGTCACATAACGTGGGTGTGATAACAATATTATTTTTCCATTGTACTTGGGTGTGACTCTATGGACTCTTTCCAAAACAGTCTAAAATTGGCTTGGCTTTACAAGACTTTTTCATAATGTTTGGCTAGAAGTCAAGTTGCTATAACAATTAAGCTCATTGCGGTACAACTGGAACTCGACGAAGATCAAAGCAAAAAATTTCTGTTGCACAACCTACTACCTAAAAGTCATTAATTCTTTCCTCTCAATATATTATCTTTCGGTATGTGGTCTGAATTTATAGGTAATGTGGTGTTCACTTCTTTGTGTTTTTTAATGCTTCTGCCAATATACACAATGTTCACTTCGTACCTGTCCCATTTTCAAGGCAATTGCTTCGTATCATCTCCTCATTTTTTTACTTGGAATAAAAAGTTAACAAGCAATAAAAGGAACATAGGACAACCCATTAAGTTAAAACACAAATTAAATATAAAGTGTATTTTTCTCTCCATATTTATCATCAAGTACTAATTTGATTGTTGTAGTACACCCGGTCGACACCACACCGATCGCCACTTCTCTTTTCTTGCTAGTACCGCCCCGACTCCGAATAGTGTTGATCTTTGCATCAATAATGATATTTAATTATATTTATTTGAGCTATAGTTGAAAAAAAAACAAAACGTTAGACAATGACAAATACCGCCCCGGCTCTGGACAGTGCTGGTTTTTGCATCAATAATGATGTTTAATTATATTTACTTGAGCTATGGTTGAAAAAAAAAAAAATTTGTTTGACAATGACAAATACCTATAATTTTGAGAGAAAATGAAGTGCAAACTATCATTTTTCCCAACTGGGTGATGCCCGCCCTGCCCAACCCCGTTTGGAGGCGGTTTAGGAGAACCGATTATGTAAATGGGAATGGGGTAAGGGCTGCTTTGAAAAAACCGACACATTTTGGAGTGGTTTTGGGGGAGGTTTGCGCTGCCCCGTCCCGAATATACTATAAATTTATTAAATTTTACCCTTACATATTATGATATATTATTAAAATAGATTAAGTATATATTTATACACAGGAAGAAACCCTAAACCTCATTTCGTTTCATGTCTGAAGTCTTGTAAAAAAAAAAAAGAGCCGCAAGTAAGGATGGTAAAAATCCCCACCTCGGCGAGGCCCACCCCGTTTGGGGCTGTTTTGGAAAATCAATTATGTAAATAGGGATAGGGATGTGAGCTACTTTGAAAAACTCAGCAGGTTTTAGGACAGTTATGGGGATGGGGACTGAAATCCTGGCCCCAAACTGTCTCATTGTCATCCTTATCCTGGAGTACACCATCATGATTTTTTTTTAATTGTCTAAAATTTAAAATTTATTAATTTAAGAGTATCACGTCAACTTTATTCATTGAAATTTTTGGGTTCATTTAGTAAAAAAACACCATAGGAAGCGTTAATTACTATAATGTAAACACTAAAAAATAAACTCATCAAAAAATAATTTAGGCAAAAATAATTACAAATATGTCACTTTTTACTGTTCATAAATATGTAGAGACTAAATTATCCTTAAGAACCACAATGTAAAATATTTAATGAATAATGTAAAATCTTTATTGAATATTGTAAAATTTGTACTTAAGTAAAGTAAAAAAGTTAATGCAGTAATGTAAAACCTTTGTTGAATAATATAAGACTTGCTTGTAAGAATGTAAAATTTACTTAAACAAAGTAAAACTTCAATGCATTTAAGTATTGCACGAATATGCTTCTTGAATTGAGTTTCATCACGTGGGATCTGCCAAAAAATTGCATCAGCAAAATCTATAGGTCTCTATCTCACCATAGTTATCGTTATAGGTAAGGAAAATCCAAGAATAGAAGTACATGATAATTTATTTATACAAATCTGAAGTTTCAGTCAAATTTTGTAGGTTTAGGTTTGGGTTTAAATTGTTCAGATTTGAATTGTTTCGATTTTTGTCTGAACAGTCACCGCTGCAGTCAAACCACCTCATTCACCATCACGGCCGCCGCTATTGCTGCCTCTTCCTCCATCTCACCCGCATCGAAACTCTGCAATTATATATATATATATACGGTAATGATGAGTTGTCAACACCACCGCCAACACAAGCACCATAGATGCTGACTATCATTGGTTTCTGGCACCACTCAATAGTTATGACTACCTCCTGCAAGCTCTCTAGAGTCGGAGTCAAAGATAAAGGATTCAAAGTTGGACGTTACTAGATCCAGATTCTTTGGAATCACAAGATGATTTTCATTGTAACGTCCTTATTCCATTCTTTAGTGGAAAGAAGACTTTAGTTGCCAAAAAAGGGATCATCATCACTATACGACATTGGCAGAGTAATTGAAATTTGGGTTTTCCATCTTCAAAGAAAACCGACCTATCAAGCAAAAGAGGAGTAAATTAGAGAGATGAGATGGAAAGAGAAGCAAAATTAGTTTAGTAAATTTCACAAAGTACTTAAGGGTAATTTGGTCTTCATATATTCATGAACAATAAAAATTGACAGATTTGTAATTACTTTTGTCTAATGTATTTTTTGATAGGTTTAATTTTGAGTGTTTACTTTGTAATAAGTAAAGCTTTAGTGTTTTTTTTATTAAATTAACCCAAAAAAATTTCTATGAAATATACTAGCATTTCTTTTTTTTCTTTTTTCCCAATTTGTCAAATCACTTTAAATCATTGCATTTCTATCAGCATTTATATCCTCGAATAAACCAACTAGTTATTTCCTCAAATAATGTTGAAATCCCATTATAGAACTCCACATAATAATTTTAAATCTTTAAAAGGATGTTGATTTAAGAATCACCTATAACTAAATTGTAAAGGATTTTCGAAACATGATGAAATTTATCTTAGGAACATTTTTTTTTAATTTTTTTTTATTTTTAAGGACCATGGAAAGTTGCAAACTTAGGAGAGATATCTCAATAAAACTATCATATAAATCTTTACCCTAATAAAAAACAAATTTATACAAATATAAATGAAGAGACATACTTATATTACTTGCGCATATACTAAGCATATATTACTTGTGCATATGTTAAGTTGCCAAATTGTAGACGTATACGGGAGTAGATTAGATAAATCAGATCAGCAAGTCATTCGCTGCTAAGTCGACTAGGGGAGAAAAATTTGTTTACGCCCGTTGCACAGTGCAATGGGACATTTGGCGTTCATTATTGTGCGTGTAATACACGCACCCACTGACGGTCCAAATAAGCCCGTTCCACGGTGTAACGAAGGCAATCAAGTTTTTCTCCTAATGGGGAGACTCTAACTAATCAATTGACTGAGAGTATGGACAACCATAGACTTTATGCAACCTTAATTCACAACAGATTGCTACCAAACAGGTCAACACTTATTTGAAAACCTCATACTAATACTGCGCAATCCATCGTAGCTAAACTGCACCACTTTCAAGAGACTTTAGCGATCATAAATAAATAATAATAAGCTTATCTATTATGTAAAGAAATTTAATTTACAGTATGAAATAAAGTAAGAGATGCACACCAGATTTTTATGTGGAAAAACTTTCCTCACGGGACTTAGTCCAGCCAAAAATTCACTATAAAAGAAGAGATGTACAACTTAAGATGTGTTCAGCACCCTCGAACACTAGGCAATACAACTTCATGCCAGCGAATTTGAACTAAGTTTCTGCTAAGAAAAGACGACACGGGGACGACGTAATCCAAGAATCACATAATATAATATATAATGGTGCCATACATATATTTTCCATTTTCACATTGCAACGAACACACTCAACTAGACAGTATATGAATTCATCTCCAATTTTTGTACCATAATTTTGGACTAAGCTCAGTGGTAGATTGTTCCATTCCTCCTAAATATATGGTTTCAAACGGGATACAATGCCAATCATGTAAATGTAGAATACCTGACTCCAGATTGATCATATTATTAACTTAAAAAACTTCAATTATTTATTCTATATACAAACATGAACAAGGATAAGCATCTTAAGTTTCTGAAAATATGCATAATCTTTTCTCACACTAAGGTTCTGGACGAGATACTATCTGAAAAATCTGCATGAATTTTGATTGAAGCATGCTGCAAGTGAAGAAGTCTTCAAATCTGGTTATCATGTTTTAAGACTACTTCGACACCTTCGTTGCCTTGACTTCATTGTACAGTTGATCTATGCGTTCCTGCGCAAAGTAGTGAAATAGAATTAAGAAGCGACCGTAACATAGTTCTTACTTAAACAGTACATTTTAATTAACCACAAAAAAAGGTGATAAAACGGTCAATTTATCTTCAGCTGGCCTGAGTTTCTGGTTATACAACTTCAGTTTTAAATTTCACATTGAACTACAGACGAATTGTTGTATTTCAAGAATGTTGAACATCAGAAATTTATGTTCTGCAGACTCATTTGCACAAGAATATGGTACAGGGAACTTTTCATTATTTCGTCAAATTCTTTAACTAGCATAGCTTATAATGCTGGTTCTTCGAGGACAATAGATGCACTCTAATCAAATTAGAAAGAAAAAACAGGCCAATGTAACATTTTCTAAGCAAGCAAAATGAATTTTCAGTGTTGACGGATGAGAAGAGATTCCACTGTGATTTGTAGAGAAATTACAACAAGGCATATGTCTTTTCACTATGTACCACTCCATGGGCCTATCTCCTCGCTACCAGTGTCACCGGTGTTTTTCCTAGTCTACCAACTCATAAACTACCTCCCTGAAGCTGTTTTAAGTTGGCATCATGATACTGCTATTCCTGATTAATATGCTCGGTTGTACTGTGGATTGGTTGCATAGTATTTCTGATTGTAGTTTTTGTTATTAGATGGAGCTGCAACTGTTTTTTTTGGTGGGACTATTGTTGGTATTGCTTGGTTATGGTCCCACGGTCGTCGTATGTATTTGCTTTACAGTGTTGGTAGGGATTCCTTTTGTAGTTAGTAGTGTATTGTTGTCTATTTTTTGTACTTTCAAAGTTTTCTAGAGTTGAGACTCCGAATTTTGTTTTTGTTTTGGGGAGGGATGCCTACTTCTATTGTGTAATTTTTTTTATTATGAAATGAAGTAACTGCTTATCTATCTATCTATATATATATATATATATATATATATATAAATAAATCAATCAACCATCTCCCTTTTTTTCCCAATTTCATTGGTTCAAAAGTGATAGTGGGCAACAAAATGGAGATAGTCCATTAGCATTAATGCATTTCTAGTAAAACACGGGAAAAAAGCAAAAAGGAAAAAGAGAGAGATTTCCCAGCCCGCACATGAGTTCTCATTTCTTTTCATTGCAAATATATATATATATATATATATATATATATATTTGCAATGAAAAGAAATGAGAACTCATGTGCCTTTATTTGTACAGGAAAAGGTTTTAAATAATTTTCAAAGATGTTTAGAATGTAATAAGTATAAAAAAGTGTCACAACCAAAGTAAAAACATTAAAAAAAAAAAAAAAAAAATGGCACTGATAAAAGCAAAAATAACAGAACATTTCAGGTGCCGGACCATAAAATAAAGGGCTTGATATTAGTACGTATATAAGCCAAGGATTAGATGTTACTGATGATGAGGAGGCGGCAATAGTAAATGATCTACAGAGACACAATTATATAGGGGTATATGAAAAACTGAAGGCACTATTGGTGCGTGTTTTGGAAATTCTTTTCTTTCTTTCAAGCTCAATATCACAAAAAGCTAACAAAAAATGACAATCCCAATTTTAAAAAGGTGTGAAAATCGTTAAGACCAATTTAGAGAGATGGCAAATGACTTCCACCTGAAAATCACAGTCACACTTAAAAAGGAGCAAGGGAAAAAGAACGGGAGTACATAACATACCTTGTAGTATTTGAGCAACTGTGACCTTTTGAGCTTAAATGTTGGAGTAATCAGATCTCTCTCAATGTCAAAAGGAATTGGCTCCAAATGAACTGATTTTAACATTTCAAACCCTCTAAGCTGTGCAACATGATTCACGTCAGACAAGCAAACAATTAAGATGAGAACTCATTGCAGGAACATGAGAAACTTATATACATACTTGGTTCTTCTGACCAGTGCTATTGAGTTCATCTAGTATGTATTTCCTTGCCTTCAAGTTCTCACACAATGATTTGAAATCTCCAGTTTCATGATTATTTACTGCCCACTCCTCAAGTGCCTTTCTGTCAGGGACAACCACAGCCACAAGGAAGGACTCGAAACTGTTCCCATAGACCCAAATCTGCACAACAGTGGAAGTTCAGTAAAGAAATTTTCCGAGATGAATAAAATAACTACTCTCACATATTAGCAAGTGCGCGCACATATATATCAGCTTTTGAAGTAATTACTATGTTATTAGAGATAAAATCTGATAGTCTGTAATATTTTTACATCTGCCATATATACTATGGTTGATCCATAAACATACCGATGTCAGAAGAGGGCATCGCAAGTACGCGTTTTCAATGTTTTCCACAGCAATATATTCCCCTTGAGACAACTTAAAAATATTCTTTTTCCTGTCGATGATTTTCATTGCTCCATTGGTTTGCCATTCTCCAACATCACCTGTCGTAATTCATATATTTTATAAATCGTTACCTAAAGAGAAATACATGTTATGTCTACATGAAATATATGTTGAAGAACAGAATCCAAAAATTCAAGAATCCCATAACTCCCACTTGACAAAAAGTTAAAAAGATTGAGTATCAACCAAACAAATCTAATTTCTTTAAGTTGTTCACTTTTATAAGCTTCATTGCACCTAGAATAGATTAAAGAAAACAATGTTCACTTGTTATGGCTGAAAATAAAGCAGTATAATGTCAGAATATTCTCAGAGAGTTGATCAAGTACTCTTTAAGGAATTAACCACAAAAATACTTTTTTTAAAAAAAAAAAAAGAAGAAGAATTAACCTCAAAAATAGTTTAAATTAAGGATTTTTTTTTTCTTTTAAATTTCTCCCCCTTTCCGGTATGTAGTATTGCTCAATGTAGGGGAATGCAAGTTCATTTAGAAGCAGTTAATCAGGCTATCAAGAACTGCCAACTGACTAATATATCCTAAGAAAGAATTTCAGCCTAGTTTCCCAGCACTTAAGAGCTTCCTGGCTGAAATCCTCAAGAACTTTTACCTGTATGAAACCAACCATCCAGAAGAACGTCTTTGGTAAGATCTTGCCGTTTGTGATATCCAGAAAACAGGGTTTTTCCCCTCAAGCAAATTTCTCCACGAGGCACGCTAGCGAGTGCATCATATCCCATTTCTGGTACCGACTCAAGCCTTGCCTCAATGGTTGACATGGGGACACCAACAGTTCCCATCATAGAGAACACATTGGCTATGGATGTAAAACAACCCGCACAACTTTCTGTGAGACCTGATATTAAACAATATTTAATAAAACAGTTAACTTACGAGAGATAAGAAGAACTTAAATTCAATAAGTAATTTTTTGTTCGAAGAAATTACAACTAATCCAGACCTCTAATGACTGGTAGAATGTTGATCTTAAAATGTTAAAGTATAGTGCATTAGTAAGGTACATCAACATTCAATCCAAATGGGGGGTTAAGGGGAAGAAAGAAAAAGAGAAAAGGAAGGAATATCATTGATATACTTTAATTTTCAATTTTTAAGACGACATTTCAAAATTGCCTCAAAGTTGTGACTTTTTATTTTTAAAATTTGGATCATGTCTATTAGAATTTTTTGTTGAAGTATTCATCAGAATTTTTTCCAAAGACACTCAACATTGCCATAATCAAAATTCAGGCATTACACTATACCATATCCTTGTGATAAGACACTGCAACATGCCACCCGCAGAAACTCCTCCACATGCCTTGGCAATGGTGCAGCTCCAGATAACATAAGACGAACTCGTCCACCAAATCCTTGTTTGATCTATAATAAAATAAAAGGTCATCAAGAAGTAAAACACAAGTTTAACAATGCAAATATGGCAGGATAGAATCACTGACCTTATCAAATACCAGCTTGTCCAAGAGAGGAGCTGCTTGGTCTTGTCGCAGTCCCTTCTCCAAGTTCCTCAATTTGCTGTCAAAAGCTTCTTTTTTAATTTTACAGTTGGCAAGCAAAGCAAAATGATGCATGAATTGGCAAAACAAATCAAGGAGGGATCCATAAGGTAAAACGTACTAGTTGTATGCATAGTGAAACAGTGCCTTCTTCAATGTACTTCCCAATGAAATCTTATCCATTATACCTTCATTCACATACTTTAGAAAATCTCATAACAATGAGAATCAACATAATGTAATTGTATATAAAAATGACTTACCTGTGTATATACGATCATAAACTCTAGGAACCCCACAAAATATAGTTGGTTTCAGTTCGTGAAGGTCGTCAATCATATATCTGACATCCTGTAAGTTAGAAGCAATAAAATCTGTGTTGGAAATGGTCCTACTTTGTTATCTTAAATGGATTGAACTGAACTAAGAAAAAGAGATAATAAACATCACAAGAAATGAATCTTGGTCTTACGCCTTGCCAAAATCCTATTGAAGAACCCTTGTAGATGCAGTAGGTCTCCATTATCTGATCAAATATATGAGCTAAAGGAAGGAATGAGAAGTACGCATCTTCTTCTGTAAACTGTAAAAGAAAATTTCAGTTAGAATCTTTGTGCTACTATAGCTCAATGAAGTGAACTAAACTCGACGTCATTGTAAGTTGTTTGTTTGTGGCTGGAAGTTTAGTTCCCTATAGTTGAGAGCCTCACTCTTTAGGGTTCTCTCTCTAGGGTTTATTACCATTAGTTCATCTTTAATCACTGATTTTTCACTGTTTAATCATTGCTGGACCACGATCGGAATTGGGTGACCAATCCATTGTGATTTGGTGGTATCCATTTGTCGTGTAAGGTGAAAATTTTGCACTGTTAACAACTTCTGTGTTATACGGAGTCTCTGTGATCTAACCGGTGGTGCTTTCCCAGCAAAGAGTGAAAAAATGGAGGATAGTGTTGCAACGATAACTGAAGATGTTAATGCTTCCAGGGTGGGAATTTAAAGTGAAATCACTGTGATTGAGGACAAAGACGATGCAACTCCAGTAAAAGACCAGGTGATCGAAGAAAATTTCTCTGAAAGTAATCTACACGCAGAAATGTTGAAAATAATAGTGGGGGAATAGGAAGAACATCCGTATGTGTTAAGAAGGAACCACATCCCTGGTGGCCATGGTGACCAGAATAATGGATGTCACGGCAAGAGTATTGGTGCTTGGGGATATGGAAATGTGTTCGGCAACCGAGAAGGTGGAAATGCTGGCAGAATTTTGGGGTCGAGGTACTGGAAATGGATTTACAATAAAGATTCGTAATCAAAGAAATATGGTGATTCACTACAAGTTGATGGTTGTGGAAGCACTACAGGTGATGCAAAATCTGGTTCAGAAATGGGTATGCATAACAGTGGTCGGAACAAAGGTCAGGGATGGACGACAGCGCAGGTATCTCAGGCGCATGCATATTCAATGCCAGTCAGTTACTTGGACCCACGTGATGCAATTACAGAACTGTTTCCTCCTCGTCGTGGATGCTTCTCAAACCAACTATTACCTGAATGATTCTCAACCATCTATCTTAAAAAAAAATGATCCAACAACTAGCAAAAATTCAGGCAAGTTAGCAACTAATTTGGACATGGGTCAGGTTTTGGGTCAAAGGAGTTGCGCTCAAGTCGCTTCAACAGAAAAATCTACGAACCAACTAAATTTGGAATCCTTTCCTCCTGTGACTGGTGATGAAGGAACTGTAGTTGATCCCCTACTTAACGTCCCTGACAATGACGTTGCAAAATGGAATCATTGCTTAGTTTGGCTTCTTTAATAGGCACTTTCCGGTAGCAGGGTTTTATTTTCTTTTTTACGATTACCATTCAAGTATGAAATATCTCCACCTCCCCATTCCTTCATATTTCATGGTAAATTCAATAGCTCACAAGCTCTGGGATAAATTGGGTCTGCTGGAAGCGTTAGGGCTTGAAAAGGGCTTTTTTCCTTTCAATTCATCAATGCTAGTAGTTGAGATTCTGTAATTGAGCAGGGTCCCCGGCATTTCTAGTTGTCATTTAGTGTTGTAGAAGTGGCATGAAGGGATGGTTTTAAATAGAGAAAGATTGTTCAACATACCTATGGAATATGGGACTGTAAGGGGTTTGAGATACATTGCTAGTGCAATAGAGAAGCCCTTATACACTAATTCACTCACAACTTCAAAAAAGAGGATAAGCTTCGCCAGGATTTGTGTGGAGGTGGGTGCTGAGAAAGAGCTAGTTGAAGAATTTAAACTTGTTCGGAAAAAATGGTGAAGAGTTAAATATAAGTGCAGAGTATCAATGGAAGCCATCACAATGTTGTAATTGTAAGGTGTTTGGGCATTATGCTAATAATTGTCCTGCTTCTGTCATCTCGAATGGTGTTGTAAAGGATATTATAGCAAGGAATGGTAGAATGATTTAAAAATGGGATGATGTAGGAGGGACACGGAAGAAAAACACACAAAATGAAGATCTGGTTGTAAGTGTGGATAATAAAGAGAATGAAATTGGTTATAAAAGGAGCATTGCTGCTAGTCCCAGAAAAATGAGCCATGTTATCAAGTCAACAAATAGACTTGAGGTTCTAGAAGATGGGATGGAGATGAATGAAGAAAATACTACTGTTAGACACTTAAAATCGGAATCCATTTCAGCGTGTAGATTACATCAAGGGTCAGACACAATTGTTTGGAAGCAGGGTGAATTCTCATTCAAAGAGGACTGGAAGAAAATGAGGGCTGTGCACAGTAAGAAGGAATGGCAAAAACTCTGCTGGAATCAAGGAAGACCAGCAGCCTGTCTAACTACTTGTCTTGTCCTCCAAAATAAAATTCCTTCATAGACAAAATTGCGGCTAAGAGTAATCTGTTTGACTCCCATTTGTCACAATTGCTTCAAGGATGGGGATACATGGAACATTTATTTTTGGCTGCTGTTATGCTGCTTTGATTTGGGAATGGTGTTCGAAACTCTCCATTTGAACTGGTGTCAAATTTCTTCGTGGAGAATATACCATTAGATTATTTCAAATCCAAATTTAATCAAGATATAGAGAAGAATACACTCTGTAGAATAATTTTAACAGCTGCTATATGAGAAATTTGGAGAAGTAGGGGCCTGAATCTACACCAAGGTGAAGCTCTTCCAGCCATTCAGGTGGCCGGAATGGTAATATGGGAGGTCAATGATATAGGGGGTATGCATGTCAGTGATATTCAAGGGTGGCTTTGTTTTCTCCTTGATGTTCTTCAAGAGAGCAGAACTATTTTAGCTTGGGTGAGTAATTGTGATTGTACTTGTTGGAGGAGATATTTGGTGACTGACTTGGGTAATTGGGTGAAATCCCTTGTCAGTTTAATTTTAAATATTTCTGGCTTTTGGAAATGTGTCCATTCAATAGATCATGTAATGTGAGAGTATGCCCTCTAGTGTTCTTCCACGGTTCTGTTTTTTGGCTTCAACACAATCACATTTAGGGGAAAAAAAGAAAAAGAACTAAACTCAAAAACTATTCTCAAACTTGTACGTTCTCTCTAGTTGCACGTTAAAACAACTTGGACGAGATTAATCATTCACGTTGCAATTGTGAAAAAAAGCAAGACAATAAAGATTTTCCATTAGATATACAAACATTGTATTAAGTGAATAAGTAAATTTGGGTTTCATAATTTACTATTTAAAAATAGAAAACTTATAAGAAACCCAGTTTCCAACAAAAACCTAAATTAGTGAATAAACTGAAGTACAAGACCTTGACTGAAACAGAGTTCTACTCGGATGTCCTAAGAATAGCAAATAAAGTAGTTCTCCTTGCCTGCAGTTAATAGTTTTTAGGAAGCTTCTCTTGTCTTCCGCAGGATCATCAAATCAGATTTTAATCTCATTAACCTCTAAACAGGTCCTCTATACTAGCTTTGACCACATAACACCATTTTCAATATTATATGTTTCTTTGAGCTGTATGATGCTAGGAATTTAGGAGTGTCATGATTACCTTAAGAATGAATAGGCATTTACCAAGACATTCCCAAAGAAAATTCCGTTACTTGCAATGGCTATAAACATTTTAACTAGATTATGGGGACAAAATCGCCATGCATATGCATTGATAAGGATTTTGCATTGGACCAATAAACTGGGAATAGGAATCTTGTGATGATTGTGAAGTATGTGGAATCTATATTTAAGTTATTATATGCACAATAAAATTCATAAAGGCAACTGCTCCATTTAGAAATTAGAGGAAAAAGACTTGACAGGACATTAATGTTTGAACTTCAAAGGAGATTAAGAATCATTTCTCTTTTAAAAACTAATAATAATAATAATTGTGATTGGATTTTTACCACTTTGTCTGTTTCTGAAAGTAGTTGATCAATAGATAAGACCTCAGCCATTATAGGCCCATTATGTATAATGACGCCTTTCGGTTCTCCTGTAGTCCCGCTGGTATACATTATTGTGCAAATGTCTGTCTTTTGCTTTGGAGGGAGTTCATGATCCAAACTTCCCTGGAAAAGATTGAAACAGTGTGAGATTGTAATGAAATTAAATTGAATGACTACATAAATCATTACATGGTATTTGAGCCACACGGTATTTTGTTCATGCCCAGATCTTACCAATTGTGCAAATTCTTCCCAAGAAAAGAAAGCTACACCAAGCTCCTCGGCCTCCTTTTTATGCATGCTGGATACATTCCCGAAGCTCACAACAGCTTCACAAAGGAAGATAAATGTTATAGTTACTTCACTCAAAAATTGCACTTTTAAATTATTAGTTTTTTCTGAGAGTAGTAGTTTGACCTACATTTTAGATGCGAAGTACACTTTGGGAGGCATGATAGCACCTGCACCAATGGTTAGCTCAATTATCAGAAAGAGAATTTCATGCAAGCCCGCTTATGTTGTTAAATGGGCATTAAAGTAGTTCTTATCTGTAGCTTCTTCAGAGCTGAAATTGGTTATTTGTAGTTTCTTCCAAATTTAATCAGATTAATGAAGTATCACCATTTTAATGAGGAAAAAAACAAATAGTCTATTCTGATTTTCTCAGGTAAGTACTTGGCATACATCAAGACTCGAGCGGTGAATGGGTAAAACTTGTTGGGTAAAACAGACCTGTATCCTACAAAATAACTGATCCTAAGAGAAGAAAGTATGTGGTTAACACAATTCGGAAAATTATTTCCTTCAATTAAGTTCATAACCAAGTAATGGAGACATGAAGCTTTACCAGATTGTCTCTATTGCCTTGACAAAAGCCAAAACAAGAGAGCCAAAAGAGGAAATCTCCAAGATTGAACAGGGTTCAAACAAAAAATAAATAAATAGATAAAGAAAATGAGGCAATGTGGATAGCTATCAAAAAATGCAGGAGGGCAAATCTATGAAGTGGAGTTGAACGCTAGATTCAAGTTTTGCCTTCTCATTTTAAAACTCAATAGAAATGCAAAGAAACCATTATCAAATAATAAATAATAAATAAAAAGTAAAAAGTAAAATTGCCTTTTCAATGATGAATTTAATTTATCACACTGATGACTAGGTCAAAACAATATGTTAAAATAGAAGAAATGAGAACATACAGCTGGTATCTTGTTTTCTTGAACAAAAGCTATTGCAACTTCTGCATGGTTGATGATGAACTCCACCGCATTAGCACCTGCAATGTGCATTGAATCAAGAAAGTTACTAATTTTCTATGTTACGTTTACTAATGCAACCAGGTATTCTAAAGTAGCTCATAAGAAGATCAAGGTATTGTTGAATGATGAATATAGCTGCTTCTGGAATTAATGTTAAAGGAAAAAGACGACATACCAAGCGTATCATACAGTGGTACATAAGATATGGCCTGGCTGTTACAAGCCTGTTAGAAATTGAACAAAAATGTTAACATAGCACTAGGAAGATGCATTGCGTCTCTGAAACTAAAAATCGCCTTTTGGAGCGGGGGATAACTTGTTTTCCCTCTTCTTAAGAAAAGAAATGAGGAAAATAAAGCTACCAAAAAAAAAAGTTATTTTCAATAAAAAAAAAAAAAATAGAATTAGGAAGGAATTAAAAAATAATGAATTCATTTTATTTCCTTATTAATTTACTTGTTAAGAAGTTGCTAAATTATGTTCTACTCTAATTCAAAGCAATTTTATTGTGCTTTGTGAATGAACCAGATAATTAACTCATTTGCAAAAAAAAAAAAAAAAAGGATGATTTTAAAGAGTAATAACATGTAATGTTTTATGCAAATAACTCTGTGCTACTCTATAGAGATAGATATATACCTCCATTGAAATTATCCATTCTGGGCAGTTGGATCCATATATGCCGCACCGGTCTCCCTAAGAACAAACAATTATATATCCATTATTGATGAGTTTTGTACATAATACATTAAGGTTGTATTCGGCTGCATGGAATTGAAGCTTTGGAATTGGAGAAAATGTTAGTTTAATTTTGTGAGTTGTTTTTCTCCAATTCCCCCAATTCTAATTTCCAGACTCCAATTTTATACAGCCGGACATAGCCTAAAGAGTAATAACATTAATATTTTATGCAAATAACATGTAAGTACTTATATTGATGATAGTAAAATTATATATCCACCATTGATGAGTTTTGTACACAATACATTGTGTACTTATACTGATAATAGTATATGTAAAGTGCAAAAGTAGTCTTCCTAAGAACAATTACTCACTATTTATGAGCTTTGTACATATATTGATGATAATATATACAAAATACAAAGTTAAGTATTATTTTTATAACTGTACTTACAGGATTGACACCACGGCTTCGCATGGCAGTACCAATTCGGATGGTTGCATCAAAAACCTCCTCATATGTGAGCCATGCATAAGGACCCGCCTATGCATTCAGTTCAAATTATATGCAGACATTATAATTCTATGATTCAAACAAATTGGTTTTTAAGTTCTTGAGCTATATGAGAGAGATATGTACCTTCCCGTCGATGATTTGACGACGACCCAACATTTGGTTTTTTGGGTACCTTTTAACGGACTCACTGCCAGAGAAAACAGAGAATCACGGATCAAATTGAATATCGCCATGCACTCTAAAATTGGGAATAATTTCTTATAATTCCAATGAAGATAACTGATTTCTGTTTGGAGTGACCAAAAATTGGAGAAAGATGATGCCGGAGCCAGAGAAGAGGGCATGGCAACTAATAATGATGCAGGAGCCAGAGAAGAGGGTTGAAATTTCATCCCACCATCCAATAAAAAGTCCCCAAAACTAAATTTTGTGGGCCGAGCATACTAATGACAATGGTATATCCGATCTAACCTAAAATGTTCACTTTGAAAGTAAACGTGTCACCAATAAAAATAAACCAATCATCTAATATCCAATAATCTAATTTTATCATCTATGATCAAAGTGGGTGATTTTGACTTTATAATAGGGAGTATTTTCTTCTCATCACACCTTATTATTCTTAGACCAGAGTTAGGTGTGTCGTATTCGAGTCCACCATTCCTAATATGTCAAGATATAAATAAATAAATTTTAATTATTTAAAAGGAAAGTAGCTATCTTCAAACTCTGCAGCAACAAAAGCTCCGCACAATCTTTTTTACTCCGTATTTTTTACTTCTAATTATTGCTTAAGTTAATACTTAATTAAAGGTGATAAAAAATTAATTTTATTCTACAAATATTTGTTTTTTTTCTTTTTAATGCATCTTTCCTCTTATTTTTCTTTGTTGCTTTTCTCTCTCCTCTTTACTCCGTACTTTTTACTTCTAATTATTGCTTAAGTTAATACTTAATTAAAGGTAATAAAAAATTAATTTTATTCTACAAATATTTGTTTTTTTTCTTTTTAATGCATCTTTCCTCTTATTTTTCTTTTTTGCTTTACTCTCTCCTAATTAAATATAGACTATATAGTGAAAGCTTGCGTCATCCCTTTACATTTAATCCATCCTACCAAACTAAAGCTAAGCCATGTGGAGGTTTAAAGACCATGCACTTAATACCAAACATCTTTTAACTCGTCCATTTTTGTTAGATTTAGACTACAAATTTTAATTTGATTTATAAAGCTGACAAAATATTAGCAATTACACAATTATAAATAAACAAATCGGATATGAAATAAGTCAAGGTTAACCTAAGATAATTTAGAATGCAATTTTAATTTGAACCAAAAAACATGTCCATTTCATAGTTTTTTTTTTTTTTAATGATCTACTTCGGATCCGATCAAATTGGATTATATAGAGTACCCATTTGGGTCTTTATCATCCTCTTAACTATTAATTAAAATCTCAAAAGCAACTTAGAAAAACACCATTTGTTTATTTTAAGGAGTGGGTATTTTTCTTTGTTTTTTTTTGGTTAAATAAGTATGTTCTTTCCTAGATGTATTTATCTTTATTTATTTTGTGAAAAATGTTTCTCCAAGAGCAAGTCTCTCAATCATCTTCCCCACTGCATGTGAAAAGTCAAACTCCTTGGAAGAAAGATTGCCATCTGGACATTAGTTGACTAACAAACAAGCTTGCGTTTACATGAGAGAGAATTTGTGGATGACATACTAACATTAGTAATACTTTGTAAACCCAAAAATAAATAAATAAATAAATGGTGATAAAAAATAAAAAAATAGCCCATTAAAAATTTCAATGAACAAAGTGATAGGGATCATATATATATATATATGTATATGAATAATGCACCTGAAGAATTCCCAGGGTGACACCATTCCGGCCGGCAACTCCATGAGACCATCTTTGGCATAAATGCACCTATAAACGGGCCCTGCCGACGGCTTCCTATCGGTGGCCGGCCTTGATTCTTCCACTTTCACTGTATAAACCTCCGACATTCTACTATTCTAGAGACAGAGTTTAGAGAGAGAGAGAGAGGTTGGAGAGTTGGCTGAGGAGCTACCTTGATCTACGTACAGCTAGCTAGCTATAAATACTAGATTACTTTGGGAGATGGCATCCCAGCTATTTCTTAGCGGCTTTAAATGAGTCCTACTATAACTGACGCCTATATGGGTAAGAAATATACAAAAATCATTTAAAACGGTAGTTGACAGTTCCATGACTTTGTGTGCCTATGTAAGAAAAATGATATTCTTCCCTATTGCTGTGCACTTGAATAGGGATGGCAACCGGCATTTTTGGACGGTTGTACCCTTTCCATCCCCCAACCGATTATTTACCTCGTTTTGTTCTTGTCCAAAATTATCTAAACGTGGAGTTAGTCACTTCCACCCCCGTATTGTTTAAATTTTTCATCCCGTGGCCACCCGCCCATATATATATATATATATTTTTTCTCAAATAAAATTATATAACTATTAAAAAAATTCATAAAAAATGAGCAATCAATAATTTAATATAAAATTTAAAAGTATGAGTATTGTTAGTTTGTAGGGTTCTGTCGCTTTCTAGAATGGTTGAGAAAGTGGGTGGATGAGACCTAGGGTTTCTAAAGCTAACTATATATGCTAATAAAATAAGAGTAATTTAGTAATTTACCTACCTAAACTGGACAGGGTGACCTCCCCCGCCCTTGCCTCTGCCCCCACCCCAAATCCAGGCGTATTTTTATTAATAAAAATTATTCCTGTCCAAATAAGCCAAAAGTTCCCCAAAATCACTATAAACGGTGCGGGTAGGATGGCTAACCGTCCCCTTGATGCAAATTGCCATCCTTACACTTTTTTTTTTAGTTGGTACTTTCACACATATGCCTCCACCGAGACTTGAACCTTTGACCTATACTTGAATACATCTTAAAAATAAAAAATTAAGTGAATAAAAATAAAAATCATGTTTGCTCTCTCTTTAGTAAGAGGAGTACGAAAAGGTAACTCTTGCAAAAATTATATAGTTAAAATCTTTAATTGTAACCTTGAGATACATGGAATAACAATAATTTTTTTGGTAAATTACACTTACATCTCTTGTTGAATGTCTAAACAAGATGAATCTTCCTTATAGTTTCAAAAATAGCACTGACCTTCCTATCAATATTGAGGTGTGAAATGATATTTATATCCGGTATACTTTTACTGTCATTTAACATTACAATATATGGACAAAAATATATTTTCATGCTTTCTAAGGGTAAAATTGGATTTTAAATAAATTTCAAGTATGACATCAAAAATATGGCAAATCAATGTAATTTATCCTAAATTGCACCAATTCACTAATGTTGCGGTAGGTGTGCAGGAATGGAATGTAATGCAATTGTGAATGGAATGTCTATGGAATGAGAATGGGAATGAAATGAAAGGATCATTCTCATTCTATTGTTTGGTTGCAAATATGAAACGTGTAAGAATAAAATGATAATAATCATTATAATGTTTGGTTGGATCAATTTAAAAATTAAAATGGAATGAATTTCAAACTGAATTCTCCAAAATACACCTCTTCATGACAAATAAATTAAATTAATAACATAATGTTCTTCTATAATTTTTTAAAAGAAACGATGGTGGTGGTTGATGGCGTTGACGATGGTGGTGGAGGTGGAAAACAGTAGTGACGGAGGTGGTGGTGTTGGAAGTCGGCGGAGGTGGTGATGGTGAAAGGCGGTGGCAGTGGTGGTTGTGGTAGAAGCCGTCAGTGATGTAGGTGGAAGGTGGGGGTGGTTAAATGCGATGGTGGTGTTAACTGTGGCGGCAATGGTGGCGGTACTGGTGATGGTAGTGGTGGGAATGACGGTGGTGGAAGGCAATGGAGGTGGCGGTGGTCAAAGGTGGTAGTGGTGGAAGGCGGTGGTGGAAGTCAGTGGTGACGATGGTGGAGGAAGGCAGTGGAGGCAGCGGTGGCAGTGGTGATGGTTTTTGGACTTGGATATGAGGGTTTTTTGAGAACTTGATTTATTTAAAAAATTAACTTGTGAATAAAATGGTCATTTCATACGTTTAGTTGTAAAATGGATTTTTATTCAAATGGAATGGCCATTCCTATTTTATATTGTATACTAATCAAAAGAATGATAAAAATATGCATTCTATTATTGTACACCAAACGCAGGCTTGCAGCATGAGAGCAGGAAAAAATGTTTACATAGGTAAGAAATTTACAAAATCATTTAAATTGGTAGTTGACAATTCCATGACTTTATAAAATAAAAATAAAAAATAAAAAAAAGGAAGATCGACATTTTTGCACGGTTCTAATAGATGGACTCTTGTCAATATTATATAAGAATAGAATATCTCTTATAATTGTTTATCTCAATTATTGATTATCACACATCAATCCATAATAAAAACTTATGGGCAAGTTTATCAATTTCCGAAGAAAAATGATACTCTTCCCCGTTGTCCACTTGAATTGATTTTTTATTTTTTATTTTTTTTATTTAAAAAAAAAAAAAAAAACTCTTGTTTGGCTCCCTCTTTAGAGGAATAAAATATTCTCCCAAAAATTATAAAGTTCAAAATTTTTATTTTGACTTTGGGACACATGGAATAACACTAGTCTTGTAAGACTTTATTTGCACAAAATATAACAGAGTTACTAGGTTATAATATATAAGGGTATTTAAATGGCAAATTCAGTGCACAAACTTTCGTCATTATATGATCTGAGAAGGATTAGATATATATGCAATTTTATGAAGAGACTATTTTCTCGAATATATAACCTCCATAAAATATAATAAATTTACTTACAAAAATAAAATAAACATACATAAAGATTATACTCATTGGTTTTACAGACTATATCATTATCACAAGTGTGATACATATGGAGTGTCGTCAATAGTGAGCCACATATCTCATGCCCAGCGGCCCAAGCGTTTGCACATGTTTGTTTAAAACACATGCTAAAAATTAGTTTTAAAATCAGTCTTTATTAATTTTAAGAAAATTCTTTAAATTTTTTATGTAGAATTTTACGCTACACATATATTATTTTACAATTTTTGTAGTATTCCCAGTAACAAGAATTCTTTGATTGAATCTTTGAGCTCTTCCTACCAAAATGCAAAACAGGTGCAGAAACTTCAAACGCATGGTGAATGCCTTGTATTGTTTAGTGAAGAGTTGAGTCAAATGTTCCATTGATTATATAACATGATTTATGCGCATCCATGATGGAGCTAAATGCACAAGAGATACAAGTCATGGAAATTACATATTCACTCTTGAATAGAATTGGTCTCTCTATTCTGTAACAGTATTAACATGCAGGCTTCTCTTTACGAACGGACTTATCTCAGCCATAATAAATTGAAGTTCTTGTAAATGTTAGTGTTAACGATACACTAAACGAATAAGTTGTAGAAATTATTGATGATTATAATTTAATTACTCGTGGATAGGGGAAGATCGTTAAAGTAACGCGTTATCTCATAAGATTGAGATAGGCTCTACAGACTAAGATAAGGACTACGACTAAGATAAGGGTTACAGATTACGATAAGAATTGCATAATACAATAAGGATTAGGCCAACAGATTATGATAAGGATTAAGGACGACGTAGACGCTACATAACATCCTGACCTAAGTCCTATAAATAGAGTGGGCTAATCGACGTTTGGAGGTAAGCAAAAAACCCTAACTCAATATCTCGATTTCTCCAGAGAGATTATCATTCACACTGACTTGTTCGTCGGAGCCTACTCCACCGGTAATACACCGGTGTTTGTAGGATCACTTTTTCTTCTCTTTATTCAGGAAGTCAGATCAAATCCGGATTGCGCAGAATCCATCTTCAACAGTTGGCGCTGTCTGTGGGAAATTTTTTGTTCTCTAAACAAAGCATGGTTCTATTGCGATCTGGTCTGGCTGCTGGCGAGGGCGAAGGGTTACAGGCTTCTGATGCAGGAACTTCAACGGGGCAACCCGCCGTCGTCCCAAATGATCAGGAACGCGTCGCAGCGTTGGAACAACTGGTGAACCAGTTAGTCCAGCAAAATGCGATAATTCTGCAACGCTTAGGCGCCCCCAATGAGGAGAGAAACAGTGAAGTACCCAACGATGACTCCCGTAGGGTTAACAACGATGTTGAGCTTAGTCAAATAGGGGGTCAACAGAGGAGCCATCACCATCGGTCCCGTGAACGGAATACCACCAGGCTCCGTGGAGATACTTCTAGTTATGTTGGAGACAAGACTGAGGATGCCACTTAGTTCGATCTAGAGTTGCAGGATCTGAAAGCCAAGGTTGACGATGTCATGCAAGCGATGAAAGGGAAGGGCCAGGCTGCAGTGAACGATATGGTACAAAAGACTAACCTAGCTTTTAGCCCAGCTGTTATGAGTTGTCCTCTACCTAGCAAATTCAAGATGCCAACTCTTAAGAGCTTCGATGGGACGCGGGACCCTCTCGACCATTTGGGGACCTACAAAGCTCTTATGTATTTGCAAGCCGTACCGGACGAGATTATGTGCAGGGCTTTCCCTACCACACTCAAGGGTTGGACTCGTCTCTGGTTCAATAAATTAAAGCCAGGCTCCATTGAAAACTTTGAAGAGTTGAGCAAACAATTCATAGGACACTTCATCGCTAGGCAGAAGCACAGGAGACCAGCAACACATTTACTTAATGTGAAGCAGCAAAAGGGAGAGTCCCTTCATGATTACATAAGTCGTTTTAACACTGAAATGCTGTAAGTTGAAGAGGTGGACGACAA